GAATGACTTTTTAATATTTTGTAAAATGTTTACCCTCTTTAGATCACAAATGATTATAATAATATTCACTGGAAGATAAGAAACCTGTGGCAAAAACAAGTATGTGGTTAGGCAAGGCTTTGTTAAAGAAATTATGGTGTGATTCATAATCCATTCACTCATATCAGCAGAAGTCAGGACTAGAGATCAGATCATTCTATGCAAAGTGATAAACCTATACTTACAGTTATATTGAAGTATATTAAAACATATTTTATTTTAATACTTATATTATTAACTAAAATTATATGATAAATATATATTCTAAAATAGAATAGAATTTTAAAATATTTTAAAGAATCATTTTGCCAAATACAGTGAATTCTACATTTTTACCAACTACATCTTTTTTTTTTTAAGATTTATTTATGTATTTATACAAGAACCAAGGTACAGGCCAAATGTGCGGGAGGGTGAGAGGATTCACCAGAGCCAGAGCAGGGAACAGAACAGGCAGACTGACGAAATACACTGCTGAGAGGAGCAGCAGGCAAGACAGGAGAGGTCTGCCGCGCCATGGGGGACCCTCGCTGGCCAGCCGAATTCCAACCAGAGCTGCAGAGGCTGCAGGCAGCTTCATAGCACTGCGCTCAACCGCCTGTGCCACTAGGGGAGGGCCCCAACTACATCTTTATCCACAGTCTAGTCTCCTTCCTCATAAATGAGGTTTATTAAAATCCACTATCATAATATTAAAAAAAATCAAAAAAAGTTCACTGCTTCCTGACATTCTCCACTCTAGTTCAAAATCCTGGTTTCTTAACCCCTGAAAATCACACAGTAAAAGTCCAAGATGCACAATAAATTCTTTCTAACACTTTTTTAGTTATATTCCGCTTATGTTTAGTAATATACCCCATGTGTGTACTAGGTTCCTCACTGCCATGAGTAGTAAACTCAACTTGCTTAACTACAAGCATATCCCTGTAGTCTTTGAACTAATGGCATTGGCAACCTGGATAAATCCAAAACGCCTCTAATGTTGTACTTTTAGTCAATGAATAAGCAAAAGCAGTTTCATTCATAAATTATTCTGTTCTAGTGAGAATTGTGTCATTCTAGTTATTCCATTCCTTTTAATGCTAGATTCTTAAAGAAATATAATTAGTCTTCTGAGAAAATAATAAGATATTTTAATAAAATATTTGAAATATTAACTTAATGATTTGAGATATTTACATGTTGAAAAAGATAGCTATTTGTTAGCAGTTACAGCCAGTTATGGTTCATGCTAAGAAATTAAAATTAGAATGGCCTTTAAAATAAACTAGACAAATCAAGAGAGGTCAAGAAATTAAGTTAATAATACTTTGTATCACTGGCTAAATTTAATTTTATATTTAAAAATACACCATATAAAATAATCAGTTTCTTTATAGAAGTTGTGCAGAAACTTTAAAATCTGAAATAATAATTACATGATAGTAATAATATGGTAACAAAGATAATAGGAACTATTATTGAAGAATCCATTCTTGCCAAGCGTTTCACATATATTAGCCTTAGATCTCAAAGTCAGCCAGGCAAATCACTATTATTATCTTCATTTTTTTAAAAAAGGAGAACAATAAAAGGAAACTAAGTTTTTGAATTTATAAGTAAGATGCTTCAGATAAACGACTAATTGTGGCAAATCCACAATATGGCAGAATACTCACTTCAGGCAAGACTTCTTTCTAGAATAACCAGAAATCAACTATCCCCCATATATAAATCTCACCAGCATCACTGGATTGACCTTTGCATTTTTTTCCTAAGGTGGGTTTTTGAGTGTTCACCAAGTTAATGAAGCAAGGAAATAGTCAGGGAAGCTGTGGCAATGGCAGCAGGCTTTTTGGGAAGAGGACAAACTGTGGAGGGCATATATCTTGTACACCTAAGCTGGTACAGGAAACCTCTTAGTTAATATAAAACATGATTTCTAACTGATTCCTAGGGCAGAATGATAGGTTCCAGAATGTCCACTAGTGCCAGTATGAGCAACAGCCCCATCTTCCCATTTCTCAGGAAGTGAAAGTTTCTAAGGGGAAGAGAGGTCTGTGAACCTTAGAGTCCCATGAGACAGAGTCCTGGAAAGCAGACTCAAAAGACAACAATAAATTAGAAATTTTTAATGATGGAATATAATATAATAACTGGAAAATTTTGTACTTAATCAGATTTTCATCAGATTTCTCAGCAGAAACTACAGACTAGAAAAGCATGGAATGACATATACACCATTCTAAAAAAAATAAAAACTGCCACCCAAGAATATTCTACCTTGTAGAATTATTCTTTCTCAGAAAAACAAAAGTTAATAAAATTTATTGCCACCAAACCTACCCTGCTGAAATAATAACTTCTATGTAAAAAAACAAAAACAATAACAAAAACACAAGACCACAAGAAAAGTGATAAACAGCAATACAGAATTAGAAATAATAATATTGGACAGAAACAAAACATTAAAGGGAAGAAAGAAAAGCACAAAATCTCTAGCCAAATGCAATAAGTTGATACTAGCACACAAAAATAGACTATTTTTTAGATAAAGAATGTTTGAAACAATCACATGGTAAAAAAAAATCTGAAATCTGAAATAGATACACTTTTAAGAAATTGATGGTAAATGAAAGTGTCAATAGAAACAACAGAAAGATTACCAACCAAAACTTAGTAGAAAAGCTTTCAATTGTTCACAATTGAGAATACTAGTTGTAAGTTTGTCATATATAACTTTTAATATGTTAAGGTATGTTCCAATTATCCACAGTTTTTTAAGCATTATCATCATAAGTAGATGCTGGATCTTATCAAATGCTTGCTCTGCATCTATTTATATGATCATAAGTTTTTTTTATTTTCCTTTCTGTTATGTGGTGAACTACCTTACTTGATTTTCATATGTTGAGTCACCTTTGTGTTCCTGTTATAAATCCCACTTGACTAGGATGTATAATCCTTTTCATGCGTTGCTGGATTTAGTTTGCTATGATTTTATTGAGAATTTTTGCACCTGTGTTCATTAGTGTAATTTAACTTAAAATGAATACTTAGATGTAAGACCTACAACCATAAAATATTTAGAATAAAACATAGGAAAAAACATTCCAGGAAATGAACTTCAGGAATATCTTTAAGGACTCATCTCAAGCAGTGGAAAACAGAAAAGAATATAATCCACTGGAACTACATCAAAATAAACTTCTGGGGCCTCCCGGTGGTGCAGTGGTTGAGCATTGGGTTGTGAAGCTGCCAGTTTGATTCCCGGCCACGGGGCGAGGGTCTCACATGGCGCGCAGACCTCTCCTGCTGCCCACTGCTCCCCTCAGCAATGTACTTAGGTCAATCTGCCTGTTCTGTTCCCCACTCTGTCTCTGGTGACTCCTCTCATCCCCTACACCTCTGGCCTATACCCCAGCTCTTGTATGCATAAATAAATAAATCTTTTAAAAAATAAATAATTAAACTTCTGTACAAATGAAAACAATAACCAAAATGAAGAGACACTAATGAATGGGAAAAAAAAATATTTGCACATTACCATATGACAAGGAATTGATATCAAAGATCCAGAAAGAGCTAATATACCACTCAACCTAAACAAAACAAAAATGCAATCAAAATATGGGTAGAACAGCTAAATAGGCACTTATTAAAAAAACATGCAGATGGTGAACAGAAATTAAAAAAAAAATGTTAACCATCATTCCATCATTTATCATCAGGGAAATGCAGATCAAAACCACAATGACATATTCACTTCACACCTGTAAAAATGGCCCAAATTAGAAAAATAAAAACTGCTGACAAAGATGTAGAGAAAAATGAACACTCTTACAAAGTTAGTGGGAATGTAGACTGGTTCAGCCCCTAAAGAAAGTTTGTGAAGGTTCCTCAAAACACTAAAAATGGATCTGCCATATGACCCAGAAATTCCATTCCTCGGTATTTATCCAAAGAACAAAAAAACACCAATTTGAAAGGAAACCTGCTCACTTTTTTTTTTTTTTTTTTTGCAGAGGCAGCACTATTTACAATAGTGAAGATATGGAAACAAACTAAATGTCCAAATGGCACAAAGCAGTAGAATGGATCAAGAAGATGTGGTATATATGCACAATGGAATACTACTCAGAAATAAAAAAAAAAAGATAAAACTCATGCCATTTGTGGCTACATGGATAGAGGTGGAAGGGATTATGCTAAGTGAAATGTCAAAAAGAGAAAGAGAAATACTAGATGATATTACTTATATGTGGAATATGAAGAAATCAAAGAAAAAGCCAAACACAAACCTTGAAAGCTAACAATAGGTCTGAGGCATCCAGGATGGGAGGGTGAATAGTAGGAGTGGTGCAGGGATGAACACAGGAGGTAGATGAGCACATTGGACTATGACTAAGGCTAGTCCTTAGAAGAAGGATTTGGTAGCATGGGACCAAAGGGGAGAATAGAATCTAATATAAGATTACTGGGGCTTTGGTGGTGGTGATAGTCAAATAACATACAATTTATAGGTATAAACCTATACCCCTAAGACATACTGTGATGTAAATCATTACCTCAGTAAGTATAACTTAAACAAAATGAAAAAAAAAGATAAACATGAAAAGAGAATATACATAGAAGAAAGTAGTGGCTGCTTTTTAGATAATGGTAACAGGGACCATGCTTTCCACAATTATCACCTCATATTTGTTAAATACCCATGAACTTGTTTCATAAATTAATAATCACAACTATCAATTACTACCTATAAAATGCTTATTTTGTGTCAAGCTTTCGTCTTTTTCATTTAATATCCTAGTCTACACAACTTGATACACACTAATTTTTAGCCAAGTGATGACAAATTCAGTCATTCAAGCTGCGTGACAAATTTTAAAATAATTGCTCAACTATCACATAATGGCATTTTAAAAGTTTCTATTTGAACCATAATCATCAGTGATTCAATAGGAAGTAGTATTACTTACAATTGTTCCAAGGAGATGAGTCCTCTGAATGTTTGCTTATCTAGTGAGCAAATTTCATTCTTGTGCAGATACCTAGAAAACACAAAATTAGTAGAGATATAAACATCTTTGATTGGAAGTTTTTACACTGTTCTGTGGACCTAAGGACATGTGGGAATACAAAAAGACTATCCAGAAACATTTATTTCATTTAAATTTGTTCATTTGCCTGGGTAAGAGAGTTCCAAGTATATCATTAAATTCTGAAAGGAATCTTTGATCTAAAATAAGAAGAATTTCTGCCTTAGGCTCTAAAACTTAGAGTGGTTGTGGATAAATTCTCATTCTGATTAATGAGGTCATATGTAGTGGGTAGTGACTTTTCAAAAAAAAAGTAAAATTCTAGTATAATAATTTTTAAATATATTCTATCATAGTAAATGTATTAAACTTAGAGTTACATTTAGAAAACTGCTAAATGTCACCACAGGAATCATCTTAAGGGGGAAAAAAACATACTGAGAGGTCTACATGGTTCACATGGCTGCTGTTGAAATCAACAAGAAAGCTGTAAACTGATTTATAAAATATGATGATATAACTAATCTGACCAAAATATATGACTGAAAACTTGTGTAACATATGAACACTTTGTCTTTTTATCTTTAACCATTGGAGCAAAATTATTTCATTTGTAAATCCCTATGTTGTTTGTGAATATCATAAAAATGAAACCCAACTTTTTTTTTTCCTCCTTGTGCCTTTGGAGATTTGAGGCAATCAGAATTCCTGAAACATTCTATAAAGTTTCTTTGGGATGTGCCTTTGGATAGGTCACAGTTCACAGTAAACGTGAATACTTCAAAACACCTGCTTGTTGAATCCACCCGAAACCTATTCACTCCAGTTCTCTTGGAGTGAGATATATGCAACTGTATATTAACAAGTTTCCCTCATGATTCTAATACATTCCATATGCAGATGACTTAGAAACCACAGGAATAAAATTTCTTTATGAATACAAAGACTGCTTTCTTAAAATTTATTTAGCAAAGCTTGAAAAGTGTGAAACTACTTTTTCTTCCCACAGATTATAACTCCTGTAAGTTTACAGAGCAGAATTTTCTAGTGGGAATTTAAGTTGAAATGGAGATTTTTAACTTAACATTATATGATACCATTACAGATCTTGCTTTCAGTCAAAAGGCTCAAAAATATAGCTACATGTTAGAATAATATGGGGTCAGTCTCCCTGAAAGGGTCAGGTAGGCTTTTTTCAATATGCCCAGAGTAGGTCTCTTCCAACAAGTGTCATCTTGATATGGAGAACTGAAGATCATGAAGGCCTTGTGAGCCTTGGGAAGTGCATTGTTATTATCTAAAGAATCCAGATTGTTTTGAGTTGAGCACAATGAGGGCCCTAAAAGTTGAGAAGTTTGTCTTTGCCTAAGTCCTGTGCTCTTCCCACAATATTTTTAAGGTATGATATCTTGAGAAATGAAGAAATTAACTCAATTTCTATATAAATGTGTGTAAAGCCTTTAATGTTTTTTATTGAAAAGTAAAAAATTAAGTTTCTGTAGTTAGATCTACACACCATGATTAAATGAGTAAAGTATAAATGTAAGACATAGTACTACTTATGTTAGCATAAGCAAGAGAACTATCAATTTCCTATGGGATCAATGTAACTGCCTGAATTCAAATTCCTTCCACACATCTTTGAAAACCATACAACATAACTAGGAGGAAAAACAAATCAATCAGAACACTACCCATGCATGACTTGGAAAAAAAAATATTAGCAACTTTAATTTTCATTAAAATTGGGGAAATTAAAACCATCAATGTCAGTTACAGAATCCAATTTGCAGTGGATTACATAGAAGAGGGTTGGGTAGGTAGACACGAAAGAAAAATGAAAGTGCCATTGTGATCAAAATGTATCTGTACCTTGGAATATCAGAACCATAGATGTTGGGTACTTGAAAGGACAGGGCTAGGAAAGTAACTAGGAAGAGGAATCTTACAAAAGGGTGGTGTCATATAGGGAACTGATATTAAAGAGAAAGAAGAAAGCAAGAAGTCAAACTTAAGGGACTTACAGAAATAAAATAATATCATGGGATCTAACAATGAGCCAAAATGTATATATTTATTAAAGAAATTGTGGCTCACTGTGTGAACAGAAAGGTGTGCTATAACTAAGGGGAAAAAAAGCTATCTGAAGCCCCCATCTTTCACAGTCACTTGTTATTCAAATTAAATGCAAATATCAAAACTGATTAAAATTGCACACAATATAAACTAATCTTACCTATATATCTCAATGTAAAATTAATTAAAATATCAAGCTAAGATCTAAAGAACAGTATCATTTATTTTTTAAGAATTGAGAAAGTCAACGCTAATAGAAATCTATATTTCCATATGGTATGGTAATCTACTTGGAAATTGTAAAGGAACAATGGTAATATTATTACAAATGAAAGAATTTAGTAAGATAGAAAAATAAAAAATTAACATATGTCAATGGGCTTTATATACACAATAAAATCAAGTAGAGGATATAATAATAAAAGTAATATTCCACATATAACAGCAACAGAAAGGGGGAAAATATTAAGCCCCCAGCTATAGATACCAGCCACCAAACACAAGCCCCAGTCACAGAATCTAGTTACCATCCTTCCAGCCAAGCTGCCCACTGCCAAGTCCAACCCCTGGCCCCCAATGATTGCAGTTCTAGGAATAGTAAGTCTAAGGAACAAAAGTTGGACAGATAATCCAATGACAGCAGAGACCAGTACAGACTTTAACATTGAGGCGATTCACTCTCCGGAGGTAGGTGGAGAAAGGTAGATGGGGGTTGTGGACTAGAGTAGAGGATAACAGTTGTAGGGTTATTGACCCATCCAGGAGCCCAAGTGAGAGGGAAGCAAAGTTTTGTAGAAATGCACCCCATTGAAGGTAGGAGGGGAATCTTGCAGAAGAGCTGGAATGAGCCATACAGGCTGAGTTCCTGGTAGAGATAATAACACTGCAAGAATTTTGATCTGAACTTCTTCACAAACCCTGGAACAGGTGCTTACCTTGCAAAGAGTAATGAGAGTACAGGAATGCAGTTTCTCATCTCAAATCCACAGAGGAGGGATTTCAAGGGTACCACAAAGACAAACCAGCCCCACTCCAGTTTATACACACCAGTGTCTCAACTCCTCCAAGTCACTAGTCTACATTACTAACTCAGGAACTATGAAAAGATCACAATATATTAAAAAGTCAGCAAAGACCAAAGTAAATAAAATAAAATTAAACCACAATATCACCTGTGGGAAAGCAAAAGTGGTTTTAATTCACTAAGTTACTGCTAAATATATTAAAAATAATAATAAAATAAGGATACCTGAAGTAGCAAAATGGACAAAGAAAATAACACATGGAAATATGAGACTTCAAGAGAGCATAATGTTGTAGGGTGATAACAACAAGAATTTAAGCAAAAAAGGACAAAAAATTCTATCTACCTATCAAACAGAGTACATAAAAGCTATAATAAATTCAAAGAGACTGAAGAAAACACAAAAAGGTAAGTCAACATAATTCAAGAGAATGCAAAAATGCTAAACAGAGATACAACAAAATTAAACAATTAAAAAATTAAGATGATCAGAAATAAAATCAATGAAGAGGAGATAGAAATTGAGGCTTTAAATATGAAAATAAAAAAAGGAATAGGTAATGAAGTCACTAAATGAGATCAAAACTCTAGAGAAAGCTATGAAAGTAGATTAAATCAAGTAGATCAAATCAGTGACCACAAAGATAGCAATGTGCTAAAGCCCCACCTCGAAAAGAGAGAAATGGCATGTAAAAAAAAAAATGAAAAGATAATTTCATAACTATTCCACATCATTAAGAAAGCCAACATAAAATTAATTGTCACAGAAGAGGAAGAGAGAGCAGAGGAGAAAATCTATTTAAGGAAATATTAGAGGAAAATTCATAAAATCTGGGGAAGGAATTATAGAAATACATAAAGCTAAAATATCATATGGTTGCCTATATACAGCAAGATTCACACCAAGTCACACAACAGTGAAATTAAAAGAGCTCAAGATAAAGAAAGAATATTGAATAAGAGGTAATATAAAGGAACTCCCATCCGTCTTACATCAGGATTTTAATTAGAAACTCTACAGGCAAGGAGAGTATTCAAAATACTCAAAAAGAAAAACTATCAGCCAAGAAAACTATGTTCAACAATAAATCCTTTCAGATATGAAGGAGAAATAAGGGCATTCCTAGATAAACAAAAGCTGACAGAGTTTACAAACACTGGAACTGCCCTACAAGAAGTAAATGGTTGGAAAATAATCCTAAAGAAAATAGGACCCAAAGATAAGCAGAGATATCCATAGTTATATTAGATAAAATAAACTTCCAGTTAAAAAAAATGTAGCAAGAGACAGAGGCAAACATTGTATAATGATTAAGGGATTAATACATTAGGAAGACATAACACTTATATATATATATATATATATATATATATATTTATACACACACACACACTGAATGAAGGAGCACTGATATATATTAGACAACTATTAACAATCTTTAAAAAAAAAATAGACATTGACAAGAACACAATAGTAGAAGGGGATTTCAATACCCCACTTATACCGGTGGACAGTATCATAAGAAAGATCAACAAGGAAACAATAGTCTAATGAAAAATTATATGAGATAGACCTATTTGATATTTATGGGCACTACATCCCCAAAAAGCTGAGTATTCATTCTTTTCAAATGTACATGGAACACTCTCCATGACATGTTGATGACAAAATAAGTGTCAATAAATTCATGAAGACTTAAATCACATCAAGTATGTTACGTGATCACAAGTAGTAACAAACTAGAAATAAACCACAAAAAGAAAGCAAGAAAAACCTCAAATATGTGGAGACTGAGCAACACATAGTACTAAATGATTATCATAAATAAAGCTGAAAGAGAAAGACATGTATCAGATGGTTTCATTCATGTGGAATATAGAAAAACAAAACATAGGAACCAACAAAACTAAC